AAGAAAGATTTTGAAGGGTTTGGGCTAACCCTGAGAAGCCTATGCCAGTTGTGGAATCCATTGTGCCTACTTCAAAAATTAAGGAAATGTGTGCACAGTGGGTTGAACTGCAAACCTTTATGGATGAAAATCACCCTGACACAGCTGTTGCAAGCCGTGCTGGTGACTATTTCAATGACAATGTTGTGGCCATTTTAGACAAATCGTAAAGGAACGGGAGGTACAGAGCTCTATGGACAGATTTGTTGTGCGACAGAGGTCCAGTGACTCTCAAGCTGGTCCTAGTGGCATTAAAAGAAGAAGGGAAGTAACCCCGGAAAAGGACTTGCTACCTCAAGTCCTAATGGAAGGGGATTCCCCTTCTAAACAATAAGTTCGACACTCTCCCCTCCTCCCATCCCATCAATCATCACCAGATCTTCAATAAAAGTAAGTGTCATGTAAGTGTGCATGCCTTTTTCAGTTTGTGTGTATTAAAATTAACATTTCATGTGGTAAAAAAATTTTTTTTTCATACTTTTGGGTGTCTTGCACGGATTAATTTTATTTCCATTATTTCTTATGAGGAAAATTCATTCACATAACGATTATTTCGCATAACAATTACCCCTCTTGCACGGATTAAAATCGTTAACCGGGGGTCCACTGTAGTAGTATTATTACTATTATTCTGTATTATTATTATAACAATAATAATACAGTATAATAGTAATAATAATAGTAATAATACTGTAAGGAGAAACTTCAAAAGTCTGCCAGTAGTTGGTGCTACCATCAGCAAAACATTGGTAACGACTTCTAGTACACTTTTCACGTGTCTAGGCTTAAGTAGTCTATTAGTATTACGTTAAGTCTGCCTGAAATGCCTCAGCATGATAATGGCTTTCTTTGCTCCAGTCATATTATGATATGTATACACATATTGTAACTTTTGCAAAGAAATAAATATTTTATTTATTAACTTATTTAAGGAACCTCCCTCGAGGGGGAAGTTTGCATCCTGAAATTTCCTTCGTATCCAGAAGCAAAAAATCAACTAAATGACGGTTCATATCCTGAAAAATTTGCATGGTGGGGTGTTTATAACCCGAGGTTCCACTGTATCACCAAAACTCTATACGGCTCTCCCCACCTGAATTTCTAATGCCGTCACAATGGACCCATTCTCACATATCTAGGCCAATATTTACTGCTCACAGCTTATCTAAGTGAGTGAGCTCATGATGTAGAACTACTTCAGGGACCTTGGCCTCAACGTAGGTACACAAATAACCCGCACATAGAAGAGAGGACGTTTCGGTCTGACTTGGACCATTTACGACGAGGAGCTTATGACAAAATGTCGTCGTAAGCTCCTCTCTTCTATGTGCGGATTATTTGTGTATCGTTCCAGTCACGGTATTGTGCCTTTTTTGTTACTCAATGTAGGTCTATGTGATGGACAGAGAAAGGGTTGATACTGCATATACCCTAGTATGACCTGACTGCATATATATGTCGACTAAACCTTTTTGCAAATCTACTCTAGGTTTTGAGGAATAGAAATGATGATAATCTGTATCTCTACAAAGTATATTATACAACTGATGCAGACCTACTTGACATTACTGACTACTTTATAGAAAGCCCCTGGTTATGCAGATCATTTCAGGGAGTCTAAGTTAATCTTGTCCCCCAGGATGTGACCCACAACAGTTGGCTAACACCCAGGTACTTACTGTTGTGTGAACAGAGGCAGCAATGTAACAAATGTGCTCAATATTTCACCTGTGCAAGGGATTGATCCATGATCTTCAGGCGTGTGAGCTGAAGATGCTACCACTCCATAAGAACCCAACCCTTAACCTGTCCAAACACCCCAAATTGATAGCCTTTTCTGTGTGTCCACAATTTAAAAAAAAAAAAATTCTGTCTTTTAAAATGTTAGAGAATCTTTTTCTAATGATAATTACATCAAAGATGCAAAATTTAATGTCTTACATACAAAATTGCATGGGTACAACAGCTATTTTGCACAATTCCTGGCTATTTCACTAGTATGCATATCATCCTGTCCCTTGAGCATAAGAAACTGCCCATTCTCCATCAGAACTATTCTATTATGCACCCAGAATTTGGTAATTTGGCTATTTTTTTTTTACTATTTTCAATAAATTCTAATTTAAAAAGTCTAAATCAAGCACTACAATCATTCCAGCCACTACAGAAACCTTCCCTCTTTTTAATAGTCCCATCTTCAAATCTATGTAACACTTGCCTTCATTTTGAATCCATCATCACACAAAATAGAGATTTTTTTCTTTTTTCTTGGCCAATGAAACATAACCAAAATACTTAGTCATGGTTTAGGCCATCCCAATAATTGATTCAGGCATAGTAAAAACCTGTAAAACACTGGGGTAAGGGTTGGAGGTCTTTCCCTTCCCCCAAAAATCACTTAAAATTAACTGTTTCTGACACTTTGACACTTTTTACAGCCACTTCCAGTCTCAAGCTGATGAAAATCTTCTCAGTTTTGGCATATATTGGCTCCACTATACCATGAAAACCACCATAAAACTACCCCAAAATCATTTTATTTTAACTCTAAATGCAAAGTCAGAGGTTAACTGTTTCTGTCATTCATTGCATAGGGCAGTAATTTTTTTTTATACTTTGCACACTCACAAAACGTGCCCATTCTCTCATGTCTAAGCTCAAATTTCCACACACAAAACATCTGAGGGTGTTATGAATTGTGTGTAATAGTATGTCATAAACCCTGATCACTTTGACATACAGTAGACCCATATATTACACGGTAGTTATGTTCCTGAAAAATGCGGTGTTAGATAAATTTGTTAGATAAACTGAACAACTTAAGGGAAAAACAGGGTTACGTTTCTGGGAGCCCCAGAAAAGCTAAACTTTTTTTTAGACCTCCAGATCTTACAAAATAAAAGTCAATATGTAATTGATGTTCATTGTCGTGATGTATTATGTTATTTTTACTGCTTAAGACAACAAATGCAACAGAAAATTTTCAGTAGTGCAATAATCAAAATGTACCAAATAAAACCGTATAATATAAGGGTCTACTGTACATGTATTTCATGGACAGATTAGGGGTTACAAAGGGTTATGATGTGACCTGTATTCTAGCCAGAACTTTGAAAACAGCACTGAAAATTTGACAATGTTTGAGGAAAAAATAGAGGATTACACAGTCCTAACATTTGATAAACAGAAGAATAAAGGGGCACCCTACATATGATAAATATAATAAAGGAGGAATTCATGCTAGGCAGGTCCTACTTACACCCAACCATTACATAATAAGAGCTGAGGAGTAGTCCTACTGGTCCATGCAATTTAGGTTATACTTACATCCAAGCAATAAATATGAATAGAGGTGCACTGCATATGGCAAACTGACCTATGCTAGGTGGGCTCTACTCCTATCCAATACATGTTTGCTTGGTAGAGATAGGTATAAACCGTAAGATATATTATTTACCTTATTCAGTATGTTGTCACAGATGTCCACATCTAGTTGCAGCATTAGTTGTTAGTGGGTGAGTGACACCTTTCATCTCCCCTCCTTAAACCTGACTGTACTTAAACTTTCTCCAAAAACCATAATAAACTGAATAATAATATTTGTTTACATTCTCCTATTCATTCATGATTCTCATTTCAAATTAACAAACTATTTTTTTGGATAATAAAATTTAACCAGTATGATGCATTACATGAGGCAGGATTTTTGTTTATACAGTGCACACTCATGGCCAAAATTCTGTGTGTGAGTTGAGCTCATAACGTAAATCTATGTGAGGGACCCTGGCATCAATAACATAGTTCTATGTGCCATCCACTGAAAGGGCTGATGTATATTGCCACCTCCCAGGATGTGACTTACAACAGTCAGAAACTTTCTGCTAGGCAAACAGGGGCACTAGGTATGAGGAAACATGTATAACGTTTCCTCCCATGCCCGTCACCAAACCTAAATTCTTTTTCGCTTGTAGATTTAGCAGCGTTTGGCTATGTAATTTATTTACGCAGTAGACGGATGTTGGTCATCTGTTAACTGATGTCATTCATAAGTTTTCAGTATAAAATTCTCTTGTTTATAATTGCAACAAGGAAGAGTTGTATCCTATCCCACATTCCTTGTTCTGTTGCATGTTGATGTAGAAGTATTTGGTGAGGGTTATATTTACCTCATGTGTTCAGTAGAATGCTGTGTGTTGCCTGTATTGTTAGCCACTCATTCCTCATGATGCCATCTCATTTCACTATACAATTCTCTCATTTATAATAAAAACAAAGAATCTTAAACTGTTTCAAATTCATTGTTCTGTTGCTTGTTGATATAGAAGTGTTTGAGATGTTACTGTGACTACTGATCAGTAGGTGGCTGTGAGCCACCTGTTTGTGTTTAATCATCTGACAACTGTGGGTCAGTCATCTACCACATTAAGCCAGAGTCAACAACCAGCTCTCCCCAGGCCATGTAAAACTCTGAACAGAAAAGTTTTCATGCCCGAGCACAAGCTATAGCAAAGTCATTGACATGAAGTGATAACCAAATATTAGATGGGGGAACAGGCCATATCATTTATAACTAGTAGAAAAAGAGTGTTGCTAAGTACACATCCCTGAGGGACACTTTCAACTTGGACTAAGTACAGTGAGAGCGAATTATTAACCCAAGCACACGTATGTCTCTCTGCTCATTATCATTTTATAAGATTAAGCCCAAGGAACAAGTTAAAAAGTTCATACAGTATATGAAATAACATGTATATTCATTGTTCAAAAGAAAATAAAAAAGCTTTTGCTATGAGTTAAGCAAGTTTATGCTATAGAACTACATGAGAGTTTTAAATGTATGTTTTGTATGTTATTGTTAAATAGGTTTAAAAGATATTTCTAAAAAATTAACATTTGAAAACATTAGAGAGTTCAGACCAGATATTTCAGAGAAACCCTATCAATGTCATAATTTTTTTCAGGTATTTGAAGTCTACTAGAAATCATGGAAGCTCATACAGAAGAGAAACCATATAAATGTTCAACCTGCCTGAAAAGCTTTTCACAGCGTTCAACCCAAGTACAACACATGAGAGTTCATACTAATGAGAAGCCATATCAGTGTTCAGTGTGTTTGAAGAACTTTGCAAAGAATTCAACTCTAGTTGAGCACATGAGAATTCATACAAAGGAGAAACCTTATCAATGTACAGTATGTTTAAAAAACTTTTCACGGCAGTGGCATGTGTTACAACATATGAGCACTCATACAGGAGAAAAGCCATTTCAGTGTTCAGAGTGTGTGAAGGGCTTTTCACGGCGCTCATATCTAGAACTACACATGAGAGTTCATACAAGAGAGAAACCATATCAATGTGCAGTATGTGTAAAGTACTTTGCCAGTAAATCAGAAATTGTAAGACATATGAGAATTCATACAGGTGAGAAGCCTTACCAGTGTTCACAGTGTGATAAAGATTTTGTTACTAAATCTGCTCTAGCAGTACATGTGAGAGTTCATACAAAAGAGAAACCATATCAGTGTTCCACATGTTTAAAAGACTTTGCGCAGTATTCACAACTTCAACGGCATGTGAGAGTTCATACAAAAGAGAAACCTTATCAGTGCTCAATGTGTTTAAAGCACTTTTCTAGTAGTTCAAGTCTAATGATACATAAGAGAGCTCATACAGGAGAGAGACCCTATAGGTGTTCAGTGTGTTTAAAGGGCTTTGTACAACATTCACAAATGAAACAACATTTGAGAGTCCATACAAAAGAAAGACTCCATCAGTGTACAGAATGTCTAAAACATTTTTCCTGCAAATCAGGTTTGGTAATGCACATGAGGATTCACACCGGTGAGAAGCCATATCAGTGTCCAGAGTGTATGAGAGACTTTTCATGGAAGTCATGTCTTGCACAACATAGAAAAACTCACACAGGAGAGAAGCCATACAAATGTTCAGACTGTCTAAAAGCCTTTTCAAGAAAATCAGCTCTAATAACACATACTCAAGTTCATACAGGACAGAAACCATATCATTGTTCAAAGTGTGAGAAAAAGTTCTCACAAAATTCATATTTATTAAAGCACATGAGAGTTCATATAAGAGAAAGCACATGATTATTCACAATGTTTAAAAGAGTTTTATAATAAAGTTATACAATAAACCTCTCTCGTAATGCACTGAATATGTTCCTTGAAAACTGCGCCAAGTACAAAATAGGGTTTTGTGAAGTGAAAAGCATAGAAAAATTGGCTTATACTCAGACACATTCAGATTTGAATGTCAGATTTCTTTTTACTGTTCTACTAGGCATAAATGGTTACAGGATAATATTCCTCACATTACGTTAGTTGTTACTTGAAGCATTTGAAGAGTGTAGGAAGAATTAATATTGGCTTACTTCACTAAGTTGGATGTAACAAGATTTACCAGCTGACACACATTGCACATGGAAACCAAGTAAACATAAAAATTTAATTTCTTTAATAAATTTTACCAAAAATATTAGAGCTCACCATACTTATACCAGACAGATGTGTACCAAAGATAAATGCATTAATAAAGCTGAAGCAAAGAAAAATATTAATACAATATGTGGGAGGAGCATCAGATGGGCCTTAATATGTCAGTACCATAAACATAGTCATGTTTCCTTACCAAATTGTACCAAACTTATAGGAACACATTTTGCTTAGACCAAATAAGCATATTCTAAAGATAAATGCCAATTCAAGGGAAAAAGACCCTTGGCATGGCAAAGGAGCTCTTGATCTGAGGAAGTAGGTCTCTTGCCTCTTTCCTCAGATTGAATGTAAATAACCACCCACCTTTCTCTTCCCTTCCTTTTTTCATTTTGTCTCCCTATTTGGGGATATTTCCCATTTTTGAATTTCAATTCATAGGCAGATTGAAAAGGGATTGTTATCTAGCTCATTTTATTGAGGACCTCAGTGGTAGCACTGTTTTCTATGGGAATTGGATTATCTGGGGATGTGTTTTTGCTGTCCTCTGGGGCTCGGTGGGTGGCCTGCATGTCCTTGGATGATGGAAGTATATTTGGAGGCTCTCTGTCAGTTCTGGGAGTTAACAGCCAAAGGAGCATGACTCCCAGCATTTTTTATTGCTCGCCTCTCTTGTTGGCTGAGCCTGGCTAACTTGTTTTGGGAGGTGTCATCACTGAGGGCTGCTTTACTGGCATGAACGGTAAGTTAGGGAGCAGTTTCCATGCTACACTGCACTGCTTGTTGAATCAGAGGGGGATATACAGTTTCTGTTTTTTCGGGGCTTTCTCTTTTCCTCTACTTTCCATTTTTTTTTAAATAAAAAGAGCCCTTAATCATGGGTAGTCATTCATGTTTTGCCTCTCAGGATCCTTACAACTGCAGCATCCTTAACTGACCCAGGCACACCCATTGACCTTCCTTTATTGACCTCATTGCCTGATTCCAATACCAGTGATCAGGCTGATCCTGGGTTTCTTGAGAGAATGTGAAATCTGTTGTCTTGAGGAAAGGGAGACTTCCAACGATGACTTCCATGGCTTTCCTACTGCAGAGCAGCTCACTGCTGTCAGGTCTTTTTTGTGTCTCCTCTCAAAGTCACCCATGCTCATCCTCTAGTCCCTACCTCAACTGTTTCCATCCCTTCACTTCCTCCATTCTTGTTTTGTCTTCTTCCATTTCATATTTCTTTACTCCCACATCTTTCACCAAGTCCCTCATCTTTTCCTCCTGAACCACAAAGGCCCAAAACTCCCCCAGTGACAAAAACTCCCTACAAACCTATTGTTGCCCACTGCTAAACTTTCTCTGTCTAAAAAAAAAAAAAATACATAGGCGGGGCTTGAACCCGTGGTTAGAGAGTCGTAAAACTCCAGACCAACTTTCTAACTGCGGGTTCAAGCCCCGCTAGCCTCCCATCCCTGCTCCTTCCCAATGTCTCCGACAAGTCGCTTATTTCTAACTTATTGTTACCATCACTTACCAGTTTTACTACCCACCACCTCCCATAACCATCAGCTGCTTTCTGTTGTCTTTGTCTTATTACAGTGGACCCCTGTTTACGATCAGCTCCCAATGCAACCAATTATGTAAGTGTATTTATGCAAGTGCATTTGTAAGTGCATGTGTGGGGGTCTGAAATGGACCAATCTAATTCACAATATTCCTTATGGGAACAAATTCGTTCAGTAATGGCACCTGAACATACTTCTGGAATGAAATAATATCGTAAACCAGGGGTCCACTGTATTTACTGAAAATGGCTTTTTTTTTTTATACAGTGGAATATCAGAGAATACAGGAAAAATTGGGGGAGCTCCAAATATTACTCTCCCAGTTTTCCCCTGTATGTATCTGTTTATGAGAACTAAATTATGTTCTGCTGTTGGACTTCCCATCTCTTGCTACATTTTATTACAATCACTTGATCTTTCTCCGATAAGCCATTCAATGAGAGGTGAGGGTCTTATTGTGACTTTCTTAGGGGCCAATTAGAGGTGTTCTTTAGTTCTCTCTCTCTGTCCATATTTTAAACATTTGTATCATTACACATTTTGATCTTTATACAGTGGACCCCCGGCTTACGATATTATTTCATTCCAGAAGTATGTTCAGGTGCCATTACTGAACGAATTTGTTCCCATAAGGAATATTCTGAATTAGATTAGTCCATTTCAGACCCCCAAACATACACGTACAAATGCACTTACATAATTGGTCGCATTGGGAGCTGATCGTTTAAAACGGGGGTCCCCTGTACTGTTATTCCTACCTGTATTGCTCTCACTAAATCCTCTTCTAAAGCACTGGACTTTGGTCTGTAGTGCTTGATCTTCATGGCAGCAGTCATTTTCTCTCTCATTCTTACTCCTGACCCACTTTGTCTCTCCCATTTGCAGTCTGAGTGAGCAGATTGGGCACTTTATGCCTGCTATGTTTCTTTTTCCTGATGTTTGCCCCATTTCAGCCTTTATAGATAAGTTGTTACTTTCTGGATTTCCACTGGGTGGAGCAGGGTGTCTTGCAGATGATGGGTGTATCTCTGGAGGCCACCTGACGGGTGTATCTCTGGAGGCCGCCTGACGGGTGTATATCTGGAGGCTGCCTGATGGGTGTATCTCTGGAGGCCGCCTGGCAGTTATGGGAGGTGGCACCCGAGGGTGGTATGCTTTATAGCGGGTATCTAACTGCCCTCTCTTTTGTCCACCGAGATGGCTCAGTGGATGTGAGGTTGCTATCCTAGAGCGCTAGTTTACTGGCGTGAATTGTAGGGTATGGCACAAGTTCCATGCTGCATCTGTACTGCTAGTAATGTCGAGGTCCTCTTGGATACAAAGGGGACTTATGGCCCTTTCATACCTTCTAGTAATTGTCCCTCCACTTTCCCTCTTTTTTTTCTTTCCTTTTTTCTTATAATAATAAGAAAGAAGTACTACCATCATGGAGACTTTGTTTCATGACCCCCTCTCCTCCTCCGAGGCCCCTTTTTGTTACTGCATCCTATTCTGAATTAGCTTCGTTACTGGACTATTCTTTGGACTTTACCCATACCCTTGTACCTTCTGCTGGTGATGCTTCATCACCTGCTCCAGGTGCTGAGGCTCTGCCCATCTCTTCTAGTGCCTCTGACCCATGCACATCTTTGACTGTGCCTCCAGCTTCCTCAAATATGGTGCGATGATTATCAGATCACCCACCTGCCTCAGGTTGGGCTGCCTGAAGTCCTATGCCTAAATGTTTCAAACCATTTGCTGATAACATTCCTTTAATTTCTGCTCATTCCACCCAGAAACAACCCATACGACATCTGCTTCCTTTGCATACCACGTTTACAAGTACACAGTGAACCAAATTCTTTTCCTTGCAGCAGACGTCTCCTACCAATTATCTTTCAGACCATAGTATCGGTGCAGCTCTCTTACAACATTTCTTTCTTTCAACACACCGGCTGTATCCCACCAAGGCAGGGTGGCCCAAAAGGAAAAACGAAAGTTTCTCCTTTTACATTTAGTAATATATACAGGAGAAGAGGTTACTAGCCCCTTGCTCCCGGCATTTTAGTCGCCTCTTACAACACGCATGGCTTACGGAGGAAGAATTCTATTCCACTTCCCCATGGAGATAAGAGGAAATATACAAGAATAAGAACTAGAAAGAAAATAGAAGAAAGCCCAGAGGGGTGTGTATATATATGCTTGTACATGTATGTGTAGTGTGACCTAAGTGTAAGTAGAAGTAGCAAGACGTACCTGAAATCTTGCATGTTCATGAGACAGAAGAAAGGACACCAGCAATCCTACCATCATGTAAAACAATTACAGGCTTCCATTTTACACTCACTTGGCAGGACGGTAGTACCTCCCTGGGCGGTTGCTGTTTACCAACCTACTACCTAGGCTCTTACAACATGTTACTCAAAATATATCCTTTCACACTCTTCAGAGTGGTGTGCACATCGTTACAGTTCAGAACGCCAGCCAAACTCATAATCTTTCCTATCTTCCATTGATAATGTTCCTATCACAGTTCACAAGCACGCTACTCTCAATTCTTGCAGTGGTATTGTGGTCTTACCGCATACCATTATACAGTGTGATTTTCTGTCTTGCGTTATTGATATTTTAGAGCAATTAGCCCTCCAGGACCTTCTGATTTTCAAAGTGGATATGTAATGTCCTGCTCATCCATGGGCAGAAGCGCTTTCCCAATAATGTTGCCCACTTAACCTTTGATTGACATAAGCTCCCGTCCTCATTTTATATTGCAGGACATTGCCTAAGGTGGTCCCTATGCCCCAACAGTGTCGAAATTGTTGGCACCTCAGACATCCAGCTAAATACTGCAGGTCTGCGGTGGATTGCCCAGTCGGAGGTGCCTTGGATCATGCTGATACACCTTGCAGTCTTCCCCCATTTGTCTTATTGCAACAAAGCTCGCCTTTCCTTTTCCCACTGATGTCAGGTCTATCTTAATTAAGGTCTATCAGGTCTATCTTAATTAGCATAAGTAAGGTGAGGGCCTTACTTATACTATGGCTGTCTCTTGGCTCTGCCTTCAGGAGAATCTTCCTTGTGTTCCTTATTCTCGAATGGCTAGGAGACCTCGAACCTCGGCAGTACCCCCACTCTACCAGCTCCTCCAGTGTCATGTCTTCCATAGTTACCACCCCCCCAGTCTCTTAATTTGCGGTTTTGCTCTCTGAAATCCCCAACTCCTTACCTCTTAACGCCTCTGCTTCGACTTCTCGCCCACTAATTTCTAAGTCTGTGAGATCTCATACACCAACACCTTCTTCATACCCCTCTCCTGCAAAGTGAACCTGTCCCGTAATCCCAAGTCTCTGCATTTCTCTGGTGTTTACAATTTCCCAACAGCTCTCCCTTTCGCCCTCAGAGCCTAGTTCTCGCCCCCTTTCTAGCTCTCACATGAAGGTGG